CCCCACTCCCCCCCCCCCCCTCTCTGTCCAAAATCTCACCGTCACTGGACAAGCGATCATCGAAAGATCACGGTCGATCAGTATCGGGAACCGTGGCAAATGGTGGTCATGGAGATCTTGGTGGTGGCAGCAACTCGAAGAAATCAACTGCGATGTGGTGTTTGCGCCGCCAAACCTTACGCCCCTGTTCAGGTAATTATTTATCGGCGAACTCAGTCCCAACACCTCCGGCAGTGGATGCGATTCCCCAACTGTTTTTTTGCACAATGACAACGTCGATCGACGACTGCTGATGGAAGTGTAGTCGTCGAAGGAGTTCTGTCAGTGCTGCAAGTCGTTGTGGTGGTGATGTGGTGCAGGATTTGGTGTTGACGGTATTGAAGTGGTAATGCTTGCAATGGGGAGAGCTGGTTTGTTGTGGATCTAATTTGATGAGGTTTTTGTGCGATTTTGGCGATGATTTTTTGGATCTTGTTGGTGTCGATGATTTTGTTGCGGTGGCGGGGTGGTGGTGCCGTTGGTAGTCCGGTTAGATGTTGGTGATGTTGGTGGCACGGCGATTGATGCGAACTCTGGTGATAAGGCAATGGTGCAAATGTGATTGTGGTAGTCGTGGTGGTTTGATTGATTTTGTGACAAATAATTGGACTCGTAACTTGAAAATTGTGATTGTGACTTCCAATTGTAACTCACAATTTGAGAGTCATAGTTGGTCGTGGCGGTGGTTGTGGTGGTCATGGCAATAGTCGTGACGGTTTGGTTGATTTGTGACTCATAATTGGATACGTTATCTAAAAATTGTGATAGTGACTCAGAATTGAATACGTGACCAGAAAGTTGTGACTATGAATCGTAAGTGTTGGTGATGGTCACAAATTATTTGGTTGACTGTGATTATTAAATTGGTTAATTTGTGACCAATAAATAATATGTGATCAATGGAAAAGATAAATTGTGACAGAAAAATAATGTGTGACCAAAAAAATTGTTAATCTGTGATCGATAATTTGATAATTTGTGACTGTATAATAAGTTGTAATTTGTATATTTGTGATTTGTGACCAATAATTAAACTGTGACCTGTAAATTTTTTGAATTTTGATCATAAAATAATTTGTGACATAAAATTTCGGATTTGTGACCAAAAAATAATAAGTGACGAATTAAATCGTTAATTTGTGATCAAATTATATAAATATGTGACTTCAATATATTTAATTATTAAAATAATTTAATTAATTAATTAATTAATTAAATGATAAATAATTTTTAATAAAAATTTGATTTTTGAAATTTGAAACTTGTTTTCTTGTTTTTGAAATGTGCCATAATTAATATCTTACTTATGAAATTTTCCCTTTCATTT